TTATTATGGATCTGAGCGAGATGCCCGAAAATAACCTGCTGAAAGCTCAGAGACCGCGAATTGTGTGTGGCCGCATCGTTCTGTCTAGTTGGTCCTTGCCAAATCGTCCTTTCACGTCATAAAGTTTAATTCAAAATGAAGGTTTCTGTTACGGTACATTCTGCTGCTGGTTTCCAGGGCCACACTGGTCTGTTCAACAAGTCGGACTTGTACGTTGAATGCCACTACGGTACCTTCCACTCATGGCACACCAAGACTGCCAAGGACGCTGGCTCCAGCGCAGATTTCGAAGAGACCTGGACCTTTGATTCCAATGACAGCCACTCCGAAATTACAATTAAAGTGCGCGATGCAAGACACTTGAAGCTTGATGAGACTCTGGCCGAAGGCGCTTTCAAGTTTGAGCAGAGACCTGGTTATTTCTACACTGGCGAAGTGGGGCTTGTTGACGAGAAACACGGCGATGAGCCATCTGTCAGGTTGACTGTGAAGTGTGAGTAAATGAATTCGGTGCAAGCGAAGCTGTGGTGCGATAACACATTGAATTTTTTAGTATGGAACCGAGTATTGATAATTAGTGTGTGGTGTGAAACTGGATCTTGCTGCGGGGCGTGGGTCTTGTGTATTCGCTACGACGTGTAGTAAACAGTCAAAAAAATAAATTTAAGCCTTGGTTCTCAAAGCAGACGAACATAAATAAAGTGTGTCCCCTACAAAGCAGAAAGGCTGCTGGCTGCTGATGCATTTGACTAGATCACTGGATCCCGATACAGCAGCGCCACACCACAGGTTCAACTCACCGCCTTGGCCGTACAGGGCGGAGTATCCTTGACAAGTTTCAGTCCAGAGGGGGTGTCATGTTCTGGAAGGTAAGATCGCTGTATGGTGGCCGCCCTTTGTGATGGGTCTTCTGCTTATATCCTACTCTTATTATGGATCTGAGCGAGATGCCCGAAAATAACCTGCTGAAAGCTCAAAGACCCCGAATTGTGTGTGGCCGCATCGTTCTGTCTACTTGGTCATTGCCAAATCGTCATAAAGTTTCACGTCATAAAGTTTAATTCAAAATGAAGGTTTCTGTTACGGTACATTCTGCTGCTGGTTTCCAGGGCCACACTGGTCTGTTCAACAAGTCGGACTTGTACGTTGAATGCCACTACGGTACCTTCCACTCATGGCATACCAAGACTGCCAAGGACGCTGGCTCCAGCGCAGATTTCGAAGAGACCTGGACCTTTGATTCCAATGACAGCCACTCCGAAATTACAATTAAAGTGCGCGATGCAAGACACTTGAAGCTTGATGAGACTCTGGCCGAAGGCGCTTTCAAGTTTGAGCAGAGACCTGGTTACTTCTACACTGGCGAAGTGGGGCTTCTT